AAGTGGGAGTCATCCAACTTTGTTCTTCCTTTTCAAGATTGTTTTGATTATTCCAGACCTCTTATAATTCAATATGAATTTGAGACTCTACTTTGGAGTTTCTACAAAAAAAAAAAAAAAAGGCCATTGGAATTTTAATAAAGATTTTGTTTAATCTGCTGTATTAACATCTTGACAATATTAAGTCTTTGAATTCATGAATGCTAGTTGTCTTTACATTTATTTAGGTCTACTTTAATTTGTTTTGGCAAGGTTTTATAATTTTCAGTGTATTAAGTCTTTCCCCTCCTTGATTAAATTTATTTCTAGATATTTTATTCATTTGGATATTACTGTAAATGGAATTGCTTTCTTAATTTTCCTTTTGGATTGTTCATTGCTGGAATATAGAAAAACAACAGTTTTTAACCTGTTCACCTTGTACCATGCAACTCTGCTGAATTCATTTATTAGCTCTAGTAATTTACTTGTGTATTGTTTGGAATTCTGTGTATCTCTCTATCTCCCCCCCCATACACACACACACATCATCATCATCATCATCATCATCTGTAATAGGAGACACTTACTTCTTCCTTTCCAATTTGGGTACTTTCTGTTTCTGTTTCTTGTTTAATTGCTCTGACTAGATTTTCCAGTAGTATATTGCATAACAGTGGGAAAAGCAGGCATTCTTACCTTATTCCTAATCTTAGGGAAAAAGCTTTCAGTTTCAGTTAAAACATATTTAAAAATTTCCCCATATTCTTCCATTTCTCATCTTTCATGTTGATGATTAGGAGTCCTTAAAGTAGTCCCCTATAGCTATTTTTAGATGTTTTTAGATGTTGGCCTTTGTAAATAGAAAATCCTGAATTTTGAATTTTTAAAAAATATTTGTTTTTTATCTGGAGACTTTAATTCTTTTACACTGATTATAATTATTACTATAGTTTTTCTACCATACTGTGTGGTGATTTCATTATTTTCCTGCTTTGTCTATTCCTTCTCCACACCAAATTCCTCTTGTATTCTTTTGGGTTGATTTAGTTCCCCCCTACTACATTTCATTTTTCTCCTATGGTAGTGTTTAGATGTACTGTTAGATAAATTAGATACATAGATAAAATTTTTTTAGAGATTATTCCAAAATTCTTAACATGCCCATTTAATGTAATGGCTAAAATTAATACATTTACATTTTTTCTAAACAGCATAAGGACCTTTATGCTTTAATTCTGATCACCTCCTAGTGATTATTTGCTGTTACTGTCTACTATTAATTTTCTTTGAAATTCTATAATTAGATATTTTCATTGAATCATGAAATGTTTACTTATATTTATAAGGCCATGCACCTTAATTGTTAAGATCATGAACTGTGAGCCAAAGTACCCAGTTTGAATCCTTTGTTACTTTATTAGCTGTTAACTTTAGGCAATTTTCTTAAGCTATCTGTACTTGTTTCCTTATTTATATAAAATGAAGATAACAATAATACTAATCCCAATTGATTTTTGTGAAAATTAGAGGGATTAGTACATATAGAGTGCTTAGAAGTGTGTCTGGCAAATATGAAATGCTCTTTAGCTATGCCTCATTTTCTTTGCTTTCCATACCTTATAGAATCTCAGCTTATCCTTTTAGCATATCTACTTCAAAAGGACATCTTTTATCCACCATAACCATTTCTGAGAATAGAAAAAAGCAAAAGGACATTTTTAAAAGTTCCTTCAGTGAAAATATTTGGTAGTAAACTCTCTCAGTTTTTGTCTGCTTGAAATATTTTTTTGCTGACAGATTCTTTTTTTCTCAGAACTTTAAAGAGACTGCATTTTAGCATCCTGTGTTGCAATTTTGAAGTCATCTGTTTATCCTTGTTGCTGTTCTAGTAATGTCTTTTTCATTTGGGTTTTTCTACTTTAATCCTTACACAAATTGGTCTACATATAGACTTAAAAAACTCCATTGTAGATAAGTAGACTTCTCGAATCTGAGAATTTGTTTTTCAACAATTTGGGAAAATTCTGAGCAATTATTTTTTTAAATATTGCTTCTGTTCCATTATCTTATTAATTCCTTCACAAAGTTCCTGCATGTTTGATTTTTCACTATTCTCCATGTTTCTTAATCTCTCTTTGATATTTCCAATCTTTTTGTTTGTGTGTTCCTTTCTGATTATATTGGATCTATCTTCCATTCACTAAGTCCTAAACTGTGCTCAGTCTGCTATTTAGCTGATTTGTTGAATATCTTATTTTACTAGTTTTATAGTATATTTCATTTTGTGGTTCTACTTGGTTCAATTTCAAATCTGCCTTGTTATTTGTGATTGTTTCTTATAGTTTTATTACATATCTCAATGCTTTTATTTCATTACACATGTAAAAAACACCTACTTTATTTGCTTTATCTGATTATATGTATGGTCTTGGCAGGTTCTCAGGTTTGTTATTTCTGCTGATTCTCTCATGGTCACTTATCTTTTAGTGTGCTTTGTTTTATTGACTGTAAACTCATATTTTTTGGAAGTTTATATGTAGAAATTATCTGAGCCCTGCACTGTAGTGGGCTCCTACAGAGAGTGTGTATTTTCCTTGGCCAGATGCTTGGTGGCATGGTCAATCTTTGATGTCTTTAAACTAAAATTTTGATGATGTTTTTTGGGCTACACAGATGTTATGAATTCTGGTTCAAAAATCTTTTTGAGGATGGGTGTGTGGTTAGAATTTCTCCATGGAGGCTCTTTTATTCCTCTTCTACTAGTACTATGGCCCATTGGCCTTTCTGGGGGCAGACGTTTGTTTCTAGTTAACCCAGAGGGGATATCACCCATCACATATCTAGGCTTTCTGTTGGGCCTTCTAGTCAGCATTCCATCCAGGTCAGGCCCCCTGTTTTGCCTCCTTTTTGTCTGTGTGTTACCTGAAAACACATACTATAGCCTACCAAAGATGGGACGATGTTCACATGGACAAATGCTGCATCATAGTCTGGACTCTTCTATACTTTTTTCTTATTTTTGGCCTTTAAGATGTTTCTTGCTTCCTACCAACTCAGCCAACCATTTAAAAGTAACTTTTTAATATTGTAACCTGCATTTTAGATACTCTATACCGGAAAGTTTTCTTTGGACATTTGGTCTAATCTTTGCAAAGAATGTACCTCATTTTTTTTTAATAACCGCATGCTTGCTATTCCATCTTATGGATATACCACAAATTTAAAAGCAGGTTGTTTCCAATCTTGTTGCCACACAGAAAAAGTGGCATCAAGCATCCTTGTACATAGGTCTTTGCATACATGTAAAAGTATACGTCAGATAAAGTCTAAAAACCAGCTTAATATTATTTCTAATTGACAAATCATAATTGTATACATTTATGGGGTACAATGTGGTGTTTTGATTTGTGTAAACAATTATAATTTTTAGTTTGTTTTTATTCATTTTAAATTGACAAATTGTGTATATGTTTAGGGTGCAATGTGATGTTTTGATCTATGTATAAATTGTAGTAAGATTCAGTCAAGCAAATTAATATACCACCACCTTACCATATCATTCCAAAAGTGGAATTTAACTATCCCTTTAAAGTGCTGTTTTATGGCCTGTTGGAAAGGGATAGAGACATTTTTTGCATCTCTTTTCCATGTTCATGGTACATGTAAATCATTCTGTGGGGTAAAAATAGCAGGTGATAGACCACCTGTTTCATGGCAGTACCCAGAGAGTGCTCAAGGTCTTCAATACTGTGCATTTTAGGAATTAACAGTAGATAGTAGAGAACATCTTGGTCAAGATCACTTCATCAGTGATTTAGTAATTCCATTTGATTTTCCCTAACTTTTTCTAATGTAATGTATATGTGAAAAATATTTTTACTTTTACTTTCTTATTTGGGGCTGAGTTGTACAGTCTTACTTTGTTGTAAAACTTCATTTCAAACTACCTCATCAAAGAACAATATCATGAATTCCAAAATCAAGGATATGGATCAGTGATATTTACAGTACTAGGTTGGTACTGTATAGGTTGGACAACAAATTGTGGAAGATTTTATTTAAAATATAATGGCTAGGCACAATGGCTGTCACTTGTAATCCCAGCACTTTGGGAGGCTGAGGTGGGAGGATTGCTTGAGCCCAGGAGTTTGAGGCTGCACTACACTCCAGCCTGGGTGATAAAGCAAGACCTTGTCTCAATAAATGAATGAATGAATGCACACAGAGGCAATGTATTACCTTTTAACTAATACAATTGATTTGAACAAAATTTTAAAAATATAACCTTAAAAGAATTAAGTATTCCATATTCTGTGGTAAAAATATGTTGAATAAGCAAAACATTTGCTTATTCAAATGTGTCAGCATTATAAGTAAACACAGATTGAGTATCTAATCTGAAAATTATTTTTGGCCTTTAAGATGTTTCTTGCCTAATCTGAAAATTCAAAATGCTCCAAATTCAAAACTTTCTGTGTACCGACATGGTGTGACAAGTGGAAAATTCCACACCTGACCTCATGTGATGGATTGTAGTCTGAGTGCACTGTGAAAGAAAATGATTGTTTGGTGGTAGCATATAAATTCAGAGTCAGGAATAATGGTGATGCCAAACAGTCTCAGATCATCCACACGCGTGGCTGAGATAGTGACACCTTTGCTTTCTCATGGTTCAGTCTACACAAATTTTGTTTCATGCACAAAATTATTAGGAATATTATACAATGTGTATAAGGTATATATGAAACATAAATGAATTTTGTATTTGGACTAAGGTCCCATTCCCAAGATATCTCATTGTGTATATGCAAACATTCCAAAATCGAAAAAAATCTGAAATCTGAAATACTACTATTCTCAAGCATTTCTGATAAGAGATACTCACTTGTAGTCTGTTCTTTGATTTTATGTATATTAATATAATATGATAATACTTTTATATAGAAAATAAACTATATAGAAAATGTATTTATGACTACAGTGTGGTAACAACCTTTTTATTATTTCTTTCTTTTTAGCCTATATATGCAAATAGATTTCCAGTACCAACCTATGCAGCCAAGCAGCTTCAGCACTTCCCATCAAGGTCTGAAGTGAATTTGTTTAGATTACTTGACCAGAATAATTACTTGACCAAGAGTTAATGTCTAATAATTTCCCTTGTATTTTAATTTAATTTAGGGTGAGGTATTTATTGCCAGCAGTTTAGATAGACTATGATTTGCAGAAAGGCTTTTTAAGAACTTTTATATAAATTTTGCGATATTAGTGCAGTGTCAACATGAAATTTTAAAGAAGCCTGAGCAAGACATATATAATCAGCTGCTGTGTAGCCTTTGGTAAATACAAGATTCAGAAGCAAGGGCTTTTAAGATAACCAGCATTAGGAAGCCAGATGGGTTGGATCAGCCTTCCCGTTGAGAACAGCTAGAGAAGCTAGACAATATAAGAAAATACGTGTTTGAAGGCACCAAGGAAGTAAGGAATTGTGAGGATAAGGTTCAGGAGCAGAAGGACATCTAGAAATATTCCCAACTTTAGGGGCCACTTTTATGTTCCAGATGTGTTTACCTATTCTAACAGCTGAAAGGCTAGGAGGCTGAGGAGAACTTTCAATGATCTCACAGGGGACAAAAATTGGAGTCCTTCCAAGGAAGAGGTACCCTGCAAATATCCCAGGCTTTGTGTGTTGGGAAGGGTGAACTAGACCCTCACCTGACTTCTGCAATTTTTTATGTTTGGCTCACAGTCAGAAAAGCCAAATGTACAAGAAAAGAAAATGTGAGTAAAATCAAGAAGCAAAGGAACGTAGAAATAGACTCAGAGAGTATCCAGTTAATAGTTGTCAGACATGGACTTTAAAATAACTGATGATTATGTCATGGAATTAATAGTCAAGATTGAGAATTTCAGCACAGAACTAGAAACTTTAAAAAAAGAATTGTTGCAAAGTTTAGGACTGAAAAACACAAGAACTGAAATTAAAGACTCAGTGGAGGGGTTTAAAATCAGCAGGAAAGGAGAAAATTTATTACTACATTTCTCATCACATAAAATGTATGTGACCCCTCCCAGCACCCAGAAGTCCTTCAAATTACAATCACATTGCAACACTGAGGAATGTCTTCATACAAAATCTGAATTATGCAATAAGAGCACATTGAAATATAACTGAGGATAAAGAGAAAAATATATAAATTCTGAGAGAGATTCATCAGGTAGTGTTCCATTGTGTTACTGGAATAGAGGTACGCTAGAATTGGATGAAGAAGTTAAGGAAGGGTGTCCACAGGTTAAAGTTTGAGGATTGAGATGGACAGATATAGAAGTAATAACAGGATTAATTCTTAGAGTGGACATCAAGTTGAGGGAGCTAGAATTTCATCTCTGTGTATGTAAAACATAGAACTAGGTTTACACTTAGCAGTAACTTGCTGCCCTTAGATTCTAACAGCACAAGAAAGTGCTTAATTCAATTAGTATCCTTGCTTGTTTTTTTACAATTTGGCTTTACAATTTCATGTGTTATTCTTTTCGAAAACATGTAAACTAGAAACTTTACATAACTTTGTTGATTATGGAGTAGTATTAATTTAAAGTAGTTATTTCTTTTTATACTCTAATTGGAGCCCTTTAACCATTGAATAGCATATTAGTGATAATCTCAGGACCTAAGATACCCTTAACTATTGTCAGGGATGTTGAGGATGGTGTTATGTTGAGCTTGTAATGAATATAGCATTATTTCATTCAGTCCAAACACACTATTAACTATCTCTTTTCCCCTCTCACAGGCCACCTCCACCACAACCGAAAGTATCTCAGGGAAATTTAATTCCTGCTCGTCCTGCTCCTGCACCTCCTTTATATAGTTCCCTCACTTGATTTTTTTAACCTTATTTTTGCAAATGTCTTCAGGGAACTGACCTAATACTTTTTTTTTCTGACGTTTTCTTGAAAAGCCTTTCTTCCTGTTGCAACTATGAATGAAAAGAAAATACCACAAAGAAACTTTACTAACACAGAAAAACAGAAACTGAGTGTGGGAGTTGAAGAAATACAAGGAAATGCAGTCAAGCCAGGGAATTTAGAGTAACATTTCCATTTCCATCATTGAATAAGTCTTATTTGATCATATGTGAGGTTAATGTACTTAACATGGATTATGTTATTTTGAATATGTTACTGCAATGATTCTCAAATTAACTGTAATGGTGTTAAGATTTGCCATTATGTGGTTAAATGTTATTCTGAGTTTTTGACCTTAGTCGTCATTAACGTAGTTTCTGGTTGAATCTGTGATAATCTAGTACCTATGAAAACTGACTAATTAGCTGCCAATAATATCTAATATTTTTCATCTTGCTAGGATTAATAATCATTATACCCTAGAATCTTGTCTGTCATTCACTACATGCATAAGCAAATATTTCTTCAGAAGAATGCACAAGAACCACAATTAAGATGTCATATTATTTTGAAAGTACAGAATATATTAAAAGAGTATGTGTATTCATGTACAGTTATTAGCTTCTATTTTTAGGATCTTTCAACTATGATATTAACTATTAGGAAAATTAATTTAATATTAGAATTTCTATTATGAATCATGTTAAAGCATGGCATCCTTTTATAATACCATGATTTTAAATAAATTATAAGCTTTAAGGTACGAGGTATTTAATAGATCTAATCAGATATGTTGATTCATGGCTATAATAAAACAGGAACAATTATAATATCCTGAATCAATTGAGCTGTTATAAAACCACTTGAGAATTTCATGAGCACTTTAAGTCTAAAATCTGAATTTTCAAAGCTTGCTATTAAATCATTTAGAATGTTTACATTTACTAAGGTTTGCTAGATCATGTCTCTAATGAAACTAATATTTGCATAGAAATTAGGCTGGAGAAAATGACGAAAAAGGTTTTCTTAGATAAGTAGAAAAAAGTTACCATGGCATCTGAGTTAGCTGTGTTAAATAATGAATTTTTACTCTGGAAGAAATGGTATGGACAGTAAAATTTTAAGCACTTAAAATTTTTTCATAACCTTTCATAATGAAGTTTAATAATAGGTTTATTAACTGAATTTCATTAGTTTAAAAACATTTTTTTGGTTTGTGTATATACAAATAGAACATTTACAATAAATAAAATACTTGAAATTCTTTTTTGTGCCTCCTAGTAACTTCCTACTCAACTGTTTATCTTATTAATTAAAAAGTCATAATTTGAGATAAAATCATGTCAAACTTTTACAGATATTATCTTATAAATTTTTCAGACTTTTGCCAAATTGTGCATGATAGCTTTTGCTAAAGAAAAATGGATTACTTTTGAAGAAAGCAGAAATTTCAGTTCTCTGAATATAGCACATTATTTTAACAGCTGGGTACAGTTTAAAAGTTGTGAGCCATCCCAAATGGAACTGTTCTTCATTTCAATTTAAATCTCTGAACGAGTGCATATGAGACTAAAATGTTTGTGCCTTTTACTCATGTCATCTCCATTTTTGAAATTTTAGTGCACATCACTGAAATGTTATGGTTGGTAATATAGTAATGTCACTTAGCTCTTTTCTTGGAATTAGATAATTCCTTGGATCTTTAACTAGTTAGAAGTTTGTCTAAAAGACTATTTGATCTGAACTTCTTTTATTTATATATATGTATATTTCCATATTTTATGTGCTTTGTACATAGGTTTGTCATTGATTTATTCAGAATTGCTATTAAAAATTGTAAAATTCCCTGGTTGTGTATGCCACTTCAAAATTTGAAAATTTTAAAGGACTTTCTTTCTACCTGCTAAAGGAATAATAGTCAAGGATAAATTATATGCAAGTTTGATGTTCCTGTTTAACTATATGCCACAAACTGACCTTGTTCAGGTTAGTGCATTTCCCTTTATCAAGCCTGGGTCTCTGACCATAGGGTTAATAAGCACAATGCAGGCTTTCTAAGCACAAATCATATTTTTTAAAATGTCATAAATATTTACTGAAACCCTACCATTTTGCAGGTTCTGTATTGGTACTGTGATACATAAGTTCTGAATGGAATTTGTTTCCTGCCTTTTAGAAGTACATCATCTGTTGTGGAGAGACGCATACACACAAGTAATAATAATATGAAGTCTGCCTATTAAAGATATAAATAGGAAAGGCTGAGGAGAGAAAGAAAAAAGAAAGATAAGAACTAGAAATTGATTCAGAGTATTAATTGACAAGTGCAAGCATTTACTGTAATTGTTCTAATTGTTATTAGGCAAGGTGAAACCAGCATTGGCTTAACTGCTGCCTATACACAGCCTAACCTTGGCTATCCCCATTTAGATAAGCTGGATGTATTTTTTTGTTGCTTTGTTTTGGCTCCTGCTGTTCTTTGTAGGCTTAGACTGCTATGTTGAAATTGCATGCGTCCATAAAATCACATTTCAACTATCACTTCAAATGTGTTGATTCCTGAAATGAACTTTTCCTGTGTTCCCACAGGGCCTTTTAGTAATTTATGTGTCTGCCTTTCTATTAATTAGTATGAGAGATTAATACATTCTTTAGGATTTGAAAAGAGTTAAAAGATAATGCATCTAGATGGAGAGGCTGGGAGGTAGGAGGCACTGTAGTACAAAGGAATTAAGTAGTGTTTGAGTCGGGCATAGGACAAAATAGGTGTCAGGCCAAGGTCCAAATTTAGAAAAAATTAAACACTGTTCTGAGGCATTGGCCAGAACTTTCTACTGGAACATAGGTACTGCAGTTGTGGACAAGAGTCTTCTCTCCTTCACTCCATGAATGAACAAGTATTTGTTGCACCAAGAGGTTTCTGAGTAAGAGAATGACATCCCGTGAATTTTAGCCAAGGGTCTGTGGAGAACCAGATTGGTGGAAAAAGACACAGCCTGATTACCGAGTCCATTGGGCAGTTAAAGATGGAAAAAAAAAAAAAAAAAACTGTAGCAAGCCCTCCCCCTAAACGAAAATCGACTCACTTTTCCCTTCTTGGAGTCTTTTCACACATCTGGCTAGCTCACTTTTTTTTTTTTAATTTTAGAAACAGGCTTAGTAAATATGAAGATATATGTATATTTGTGCATGTGTAGTTTTTAATTCAGAAAGTATCCCGAATTCGCTGTTACAAGCACGGGGCCAGTGAGACGCAGAAGAGCGCGCGAAGCGCTGCAGTCTCGGCGGTTCCTGGAGGAGGCGGCCGGGCCCAGGCCGGCGGTTGGAGCAACAGACGCGGCAGCCCCGGCCCGCCGCCAACAGCCGCCGCTTGGTGGCTCAGCTCGTTCAGTCGCCGCTTGGAGCCCAGGAGTCACACCATGTTCGGCCTGATGATGCTGCTTGCCGGGCCCTGTGGCCTGCTAGCCTCAAGACCCGGTAAGACCAAGGCCTTGTTACTCTTGCACTCTCATAAGCCCCTCAGAAACTTCGTTGCACTCTGTTAAAACTCAAAATAACCTGATTTCCCCCAGGTGGTATTTGTTCCTTCCCGCCTTACCCTCCGTGTGATAATACTTTGTCTTGCAATACAAAAAAAGTGAAGTGTCTGCTATGCCACCGAGGTACATTGATTGTGGTAGGAAAGGAAGAACAGTAGGAAGAGTTCTCAAAAATTTAAAATATGGTATGTCGTAGGGGAGGTTTACATCCAAGTAAAATGTTTCGACATTTGTTTTGTTTTCCTTTTTGTTTTTACGCTCTGTTCTGAATCTTGTCATCCTGAGTCAGTACAGGGAGTGTCCTTTTCCTCCGTCTCCGTAGTGTTGCGTTGTTTGGAGGTAACCACAATTTAGCCGTTCTCTTATTAATGAACTTTGGGATTGTTTCCAGACGTTGTGCTATTGTGTACTGTATTAGCTCCCATTGCAGTAAAAAAATATCAGAGACTGCATCGCTTAAACAACAGAAATTTATTTCTCACAGTTCTGGAGGCTGGCAGGTGCAGATCAGGGTGTTGTCATGGTTGGATTGCGTGAGGGTTCTCTTCCTGGTTTATAAACTGCTGCCTTCTGCCTGTGCACTCGAAGGACCTCCTCTTTGTGTGCAGGGAGAAAGAGCAGGAGCAAATTCTCCCAGGTCTTTTCTTGTAAGGGCTTTAGTCACATCATGAAGGCCCCCCTCCATGTTACTGACCCCAGTTACCTCCCAAGGGGCATCACAAATACTATCACATTGAGGGTTAGGGATTCAACATGTGAATTTTGTGGGGACACATTCAGTACATCACACATATCATATTTTAATGCAGTGGTTGTCAAACTTTTTGAATTTAGAACTCCCTTACACATTAATAAATTCTCAAAGAGTTTTATGTGCATTTATATCTATCAGTGTTTATCATATTAGATATTAATGTAGAAATTTAAGAATGTGTATTAATTCATTTAAAAATAACAGTAAAATAGACCTGTTACATGTTTTTTTTTTTTTTTCTTTGAGAAAGAGTCTAGATGCCATAGCTAGAGTGTGGTGGTATCAGCCTTCTCAGAGCAACTTCAGACTCCAGGGCTCCAGGGATCTTCCTGCCTCAGCCTCCCAAGTGGCTGGGGCTATAGGCACACACCACCATGCCTGGCAAATTTTTCTGTTTTTAGTAGGGATGGGATCTGGCTTTTGCCTAGGCTGGTCTCAAACTCCTGACCTCAAGTGATCCTTCCGCCTCAGACTCCCAGAGTTCTAGGATTACACGTGTGAGCCACCATGCCTGGCCCCTGTTATAAGTTAACATAAAGTAACACATTTTAAAAACAAAAATAACTATTTTCCTAAACAAAAAAATTAGAAGAGGGCATTGTTTTACATTTTTGTAAATCTATTATCTGTTTTAATAGAAGACAGATTCTCATATCTACTTATGTATTTAATCTGTTGCTGTATGTTTCCTTTGAATTATATGAAGAAAATCTAGCCTATGTAGTTGGAAAAGGGAGGAATATTCTTTTTAGATGATTGAAGGTATTATTTGGGTACTACACCAAAACTTGACAAACAGTAAAGATTAGTTACAATGTAGAATCTAAAACATGCTAATGAACTTTATTTTTAAAAATAATAATTTTATTAATTTATTTTATTAACATTGGTACCAAACTGAACTTTTCTTAATATGCCATATTAAAATCCATTGGTTTATCTTGAACTTTGATATTTTACCCATGTATTTTTAATGGATAATAATAATCCTTGTTTTTTAATTTTAATTGTAAATTGTGGTAAAATACACATAAAATAAAATTTACTAACTAACCATTATTTACAAATTAACAAACTTTATTTTTTGGAGCAGCTTTAGGTTCACAGCAAAATTGAACGGAAAATACAGAATTCCCATGTTATCCCTGTTCCCACATGTGATGTGTGTACCCTCCTCCACTGTCAACGTCTGGCCCCACGGTGGTACAGTTGTTATAATTATGAGCCTACACTGGCACATCATTATCACTCAGTGCCCATAGTTTACATCAGGGTACACTCTCGGTGTTGTGCATTCCATATGGTTTTTAACAAATGTATGGTGACATGTATCCACCGTTGTAGTAGTATACAGAATATTTTCCTTGGCCTAAATATCCTCTGTGCTCTGCCTGTTCATCCCTCCTTCTTCATCCCTAACCCCTGGCAACCACTAATCTTTTTACTGTCTTCACAGTTTTTTGCCTTTTCCAGAATGTTATATGGTTGAAACTATATAGTATGTAGCCTTTTCAGATTGGCTTCTTCCACTTAGTAATAAGTATTTAAGGGTCCTCTATGTCTTTTCACGGCTTGATAGCTCCTTTATCTTTAGTGCTGAATAATAGTACAATCTCTAGATCTACCACAGTTTTTTCCCCTGTTAATCTGCATGTTTATTTTTATTTTTTAATTTTGTATTTCAGAGTACTACGGGGTTACAAATGCTTTTGTTACATAAATTGCCTTTGTACTGCTCAACAGGCATGCCCCTCCCCAAGATAGCACACACCACATCTGTTAGGTATGGATTTACACATCCCCTCCCCCCTGCCACGTGGCAGACACCCTATGAATGTTACTTGTCATATGTGCACATTAGTGTTGATCAGTTAGTACCATTTTAATGGTGAGTACATGTAGTGTTTATTTTTCCATTATTATGATACTTAGAAGAATGGGCTTCAGGTCTATCCAGGATAATACAATAGAT